ATGAGCCGTAACTATGGCGTTCAATTAAATTGTTACTGGCCTTGAACTAGAATGAAAACTTCACCCAACAGTGTGTTCAGACCAAATGTGAAGTAAAGATAAATATAAACATTGTGGAAGCTACATATTTGTGTCAAACAAAGGCAAAGACATTCGTTACAAAATTTATCAACTCTGGCACCAACTTTGCTTTATGCTCCATCACCAAAGTATCAGCTGTTGTTTCTCCTGATTACACTAATTAGCAGAAATGGGGGATAAGCTTAAAGTCACAACACAATTTGAGTCAGAGTGAGAGCGAGAGCGAGCGAGCGAGCGAGCGAGCGAGAGAGAGAGAGAGAGAGAGAACAGGACTTGAAGTAAAGTAAGAGAAGTGACTCTACTTCCTGGTGAGGTCTGAAATATGTTTCTGTCAACTGCATCTAGCTGACAGTGAAAAGTTGGACACTTTATTCGTGTGAGTAAAGTCAGGAAAACATCTGTTTGGTCTGAACAAACAATAGGTGGCAGCTCTAGAACATAATTGACACATCAACTGTTGTCCCACTAAAATTTGATTGATAGATTTTCTCATTTTTCATTCATTTTCATTTCATCTGTAAAAAAATAATTGAAATTAAAAATAAATTATTTATTTAAACAAATTAATAACCCAACTGGTAAAATTACTAAAAACAAATTAACAAAAAGGTCATATCTTTGATGTCTGTATCAACAAAATATCGAATTAAATATTATTTAACTTTCTGAGAATCTCAAAATACTCTACCGCTGTTAATCTACCACAGTGAAAAGAATATGCCATTAAGTCGTTTTTGCATCTAATTTCTTTGGTTTGCATGATTTGCAGTCACTTCTTGATGTGCAGCTACTGATTTGAGTTAATTCCACACAACCAACAGAGCAGCAAACACACAAAACCAAAAGCTCACACTGTTGAGAACCAAGACTACATATTTTTAGGATTCATAAAGTTCACAACAGTAAGAGTACACAGATCAGTGCTTAGTGTTCTCACCCTGGTCATTTCAGACTGTGCACAGAAGAATGGTTTGCACAGGGGAATTAAACAAATTAAGTGAAGTGGAGCAGGAACAGGGCAGTGTGATAAGGTTTAACAAGATACAAGTTTCTCCACACGCTTCATTTCAAATTGTGCCCACCCAGACTTGACCTAGTTGACTCACCCAGGAGATACGATAGCTTACCTTACCCAGAATTTTCCGACCATTCATGGCTGCGATTGTGGCAGTGGCATGTCTATGCTCATAAAACTCCACAAAGCAGTACGGATCGTGACCTGCTGTCTGGGTTGGAGAGGAAACACATAAGTTATGTTACTGTGAGCAATATGAAAGCTTGAATAATTATGGTGACGTCATTGTTAAGCATTAAATTGGGAGGATGCAACACCAATGCAAAATTGGAGGAAAAAAAAGGATGAACATTACAAGAGTCAAGCAAGTAGCTAAACCAGATTGCAAGGGCTGAAAAGAAAATGAGAAGAAAAAGAGTTACGGAAAAATAAATAAATAAATAAAAAACAAACTCACATCTACTATCATTTTGCAGCTTTTGCAGGGTCCGATTTGGCCAAACAACTCCAAGATGAGTGCCTCGGTCACATCCCGGGACAGATTTCCCACATACCTAGATGCACAAAAACAAACAACAGACGGGAGACAGTCAGTGCTGGCTAGTTTTTCAAAGTAGCCATCGATGGCTGGTGCAGATGCTCTAACAGGGCAACAGGGTTTCCCTTCTCTAAAAGTTTACCATTGTTAAAAAATTAGCCCAGAGAAACATCTTTCCTAATCCATTTTTAACCTAACTCCAGAAAATGTTTGAAGCATCACGTCAGGACACTGTAAGAAGTTGTTTTTTCCCCATTTTTAGCACATTCATATCAGCCTCACCCTCATTACTGGAAATACTTTGTTTCGTTTTAAATAAGGGAGGTTTCTGGGTAGACTGTGCAGGAGGCCAGACGCATCATAACAACTTGATAGATGAGAATTCGCTGGACCATTACATGTGTAATTCTTAGACCAGAACAACTCAGCAAATCACAACCACATACCACGCATTCATCCAATCCAACTGTATAGGACATATGCATTATCGTATACCCCTCCTTTGGGTACGGTCTAGAAAATTTCAGACAGGTGGAGGTGATTGCTTTCTTGTAATTTCTTGGAAAAGATAAAAATAACAAGGCGGTACATGTTTCCATAAGATGGCAAAGCAGCTGACATGATCATGTTTCGATAAAATACAATCACTGATTACATTCTGTGTTGGGATAAATATTCAGTTAAAATATTGCCACAAGCTAAAATGACAAGTAATTGTTATGAAATTAAATTTCTCTACTATGAAAGCATTCCATATCAAATACACTTCAAAATACTGGTGTTTTTTTGGTATGATATCTTGGATTAACGCTGTAGCCCAACAAGGATCAATTTAAAGCTTTTTACAAACTGGAAGATGGTTTAATCTCTAAAAATATATCATACTTTCTGAGCTGATAAAAGGGTTTGAATTTAAGATGACGATTTACAGATTAAAACAATAAAAAACAAAACAAAACAAAAAACAACAGTATCAGCACCAGGCACCACTACTAGTCCACTTGTAAGGCTCCATTAAATGCAAATTTGAACGCTATTTATGCTTAATGATTCTGTAATTAGAGCATTTAAATGTCAGCCAAAGAGTAGGGAGAGGTTTAAATAAAGAAATATCAACCATGTCTTTTAAATAGAGCTGTTTTAAATAGAATTAATCTTCCCCAAGGTAATAAAAACCCGTTTTCATAATCAAATCAACATTGGCTGACACCATGTTAACACTTAAAGCATCAAACGCATATACATATATGTACAGTTTCCTGGCCTATACAATGGTGACTCTATCAGGGTGATGGCACGTCGAACTCCATTGAAAAGCCAGCTAGTTCAATGTCCTTCTGCTTATTGCAACACTTAACAGCGCTATAGAGAAGTCTCTGGTACATTTAGCGAGTCTCCCCAAGTTACTACTTAAAGTGTCGTTCACTAAGCATACCAACAGTTATTTATTTTAGAAACAATTCAACTTTCACGCCGTCTTATTCTCAGCAAGAAACGTGAACGGACGCGTTAATTTGAGATTTTTCTGGAACTAGCTAGCAGGCTAGCATTAACCAATGTGTCGACTATACCAGAGAAAGACCGTTACCATGTGTTTAGATGTTATAAACGCGTTGTTATGCTACGTTTAACAAAAGCTTACACAAGACATTCAACTGTTATTATATAGACGGGAGCCTCCAATGTGCCTGTCCTAAAGAAACAACCGCTTCGAGACCGGAGTCAGCCCTGGAAACTGCCGCTGAGCATTACGTGACGAACACAAGCGTTTAGCTAACGATAAAGGCATACACTTACAGGGTTTTGGGCTGGTCATCGTCCATTCTGTTTCAGTTGCTGGCCGAAAACAAGTCGCAACCCCGAGTGCAAATCCACGACTGTCGCGGGCAGCTGCCGGTGACACTGTCAAGTTATTTTATTGCGAACTGGTTTATCGCCGTTGTTAGCTCAAGAGTGAACAATGGGCAGCCGACAAAGATGGCGGAGCAACTGGAGGCCGACGCGAGTCCCGCATGCGCAGTAGTTCAGTCCAAAGGCAACTTCTAGACAGCTTACAAAATAACCCCAGTTTTAATTTGATGACAAGACGCGCATAATTATTACACGAAAACATGTAAAAGCACGTGTAAATGTTTCTTTTCTTCTATAATATATGCATTACAAGTAGATCTCTAATCAATAAAATATGTAAAAACCTGTGCGACTTTTAATAACTTCATTCAATCCCGCTGTTTTTTATATTCTCTTTTGTGTAAAGTAACTACACTTTGGGAAACGTGTATCTGAGAATGTATATTTAAGTTTTGGATTTCTCCTCTTTTCTACATTTGAGAGGCAAATATTAGGACATGCAATATATTACAATTTAAATTATGTATACACAGATGGATAAAGCTGATGAGCCATACTACAAACAAATGGGAAGAAGTTGTTTAAGCTAGGTTAAGAAAAGAGGTGACAATCAGTGAGCAGCAGTGGGGTATAGAGAGTGGCAGAGGGTGGTGCAGGACATGCGAGGACAATGAGACAGTGGTGAGGTGTGCAGTATGAATGACAGATGGGTTTCCGGTGGGAAGGGAAGAGTTACATCAGGGCTTACCTCTGACTCCCCTCTTGTTTGCAGTGGTGATGGACAAGTTCACAGATGGGGTTTGGTAGGACTTGGCATGGACTATGATGTTTGCAGAGGACGCTGAACTGTAGTGAGAGTAGAGAGCATGTGGAAGATAACCTAGAGAGGTGGAGGTATGCCCTGGAGAGAAAAGTAATGAATAAAGAGAAGAACAGCCAGACTGCTTTGAGCTGATTGGAGGATAGCAGTAAACCAAATAACCAGAGTACAAGCAAGGTATGCAGAAGAGCGTCTCTGAATTCACAACATGTTGAACCCTGAAGCACATGGGATATCTGCTGCGACATTCAGATAGTAGGACCAGAATTTGGTGTAAACAAAAGAAAAATTCTACACATATTCCTAAAATGAGATTTGTTTTCCATTTTATTGATAGTTTGTGGCATTGAAAAACTGCAATACTTAAACAGCTTTTTGTAACATCCAACAAACATTATTGGCAAGCCTCCAAACACCATTTATAAAGCTATACATTTATACAGTATAGTGCAAGTTTCAGTTGTCACTCTTCTTACCAGTGTGTTATTTGTCTTTGGTAGGTTTTGTGTTGCTTTCTGTTTATTTTATTATTTTTTGTGGAAATTGAAATTTTGCTTATTAAAAATATCAGTGGAATCAGTCCTTCCACATGTGACCTGCCACGTGAATCCAATCACAACAGAACCACCACACGTTTCTAAAAAATTCAAGCTATTGTGATGTAAACAAAGTAAGAAACCTAATTTATTCTTAACTCTGATGCTTCAAGTACAACATTTATTTGTCAGTAATTTACTTACAATTAATGACAAATACATAAATTATATTTATCAGCATATACAAGTGTTTTTACAAAAAACCAAAAAGGAAAAAAGTCCCCTTATGTCTCATCGTTTCCATCCTTGTACTCTGATCGCACAGTCCGACACAGTGCAAACAGCAGGAGAAGCAGAGCTGACAGGGCCTGTCCTCTCTGCTCTGACATGCCCTCATCTGGGGCAGATGCTGTGGTCACTGAGGAGTTTCTCCATCCTCTTTATCTTGCGCTTGTTCTTTGGCATGGGCTTGTCGTACATGCCGTTCTTCAGCAGATGTTCCTTGCTATGATGGATCTGAGCGCCGTGCTGAAGCTGGAAGGAGCAGAGTGCTTTCAGGGGCTTGAGCAGAACCTGCACACGCACAGATGGGAATGGAAGGAGAACGCGATAAAGAACACCATGCTCTGTGTTTTGACATGATTCATGATAATGAACCTACAAAGAATTACTGCCCAGCTTCTCACGCACTCTTATCTCCAAGCTTCATTTTACCATCCTTTTACCCTTTTCATTTAGCCTACCCACTCATCACCCTTGTTTTAAGAAGGCAGCAGCAAAAAACTCATTTTATTCTAAAGAGCGGAAATGTCCATTTAGCAATGATCTGCTGAACACAGTCAAGCATTTAGCATTAAAATCTAGATATTTATCTCAGCAGTTGGTAGAGACTAAACACAGAGTTAAAAGTAATGCAAATATTAGATGTAAAAATAATTATGATTCTGTATACTACAGATTCTAGATATTTATTATACTACTATATAACCGTTTTGGTATTTTACCTCTTGGATCTCATCATTCCGCTCCAGGATCGACAGAGCGACAGCGGCACATTCCAGAGTAGACAGACAGATGTTGGAAGGTTGTGTGCGGATCACGTATTGACTTGATAAAGTCCTATTGAGCTGCACCTGGTAAACCAAAGCAGAAGTGATCAGTAATCACAATGTTGATGTATGAAAAGCAATGAATTTTATGAAAGCTATAATTCTTAAGGAATGCACCACACTGGCAGTTTTTCATTTAGGGCTTTCAGCGTTCATCTCTGACAGGTGTGAAGTTTCAAAGTTATGGTTTGTCCATAAACACGTGATCAGAGCTGGAACATCTTCTAATGTTGGTTGTCAACATTACACACATTCAACTTAGAGGCGGACTGACACAGAATTTATGACACAGATTTATCTGATATCAGATATATGAGCTAATTTTTCCCCCCTTTCGGACTTCTGTGTTTCATTTACTTGTTTACGTTTTCCCTCACTCTACCTGGATCAACTGATTTGTGCGTTTGTGGCGTTGTATTGACTAATCACGTTTGTGCACACCTGCATGTTATAGTTCTGTGTCAGTTGGACACACAAATCCAAATTTTCCACCCAATTCAGGCTTTAAGACCCTAGAAAGAAAAAAGGCTTAGCAACTGAGAGTTTATATTCTCTACAACGTCCTTTAATATGCGCACCTGCTTGGGCAGGTGGAAAAGGCTGTTTTTGAGGAACATGTTTTTGGCTTGGCTCCAGGTGCCGTCTATGATGATGACATTATATTTCGCAGTGCCCACTTCTTGGTATTGCACCAACTCCTCAAGGTTCTCCGATTTAGGTCCTGGGTACAGAATCAGCGTTCTGCTGTCCCGGCACACCGCAGCCAGCTCCGGGTGCCTGCACAGAAAATAAATGAAGGCAGAAAATAAAAATTTAAATATAACACATATTTAACTACGCTCAATTAATGCATACTTACTTTTCCTCATTAAATCTCCTTCCAACTATGACATTGCATTTTCCTTGTGGCAAGCAAGCAGCAAGTAGAGGAACTGTGCGGAGTACTCGGCTCTCCTGCAAGAGATCGAAACCTTTAGTCATGTGTTCATCACTGTCATGAAAGCCGCGCATTATAGAGTCCACTGTCAGGAGCAAGACAGTAATCTGATTCCAAAGCATTCAAACACACCCGATGGCGATGTCAGGGTGATACACTGAGAAATGAGACACTGATGTTCTTCTTATTCATCCACTAACTCTCAACACAATATCAGTCTTGGTCTGGTGCAGATGTACATGTATGCATCTTTCTGGATATGGGTCAATATCAAAACTTGCCTTTAATGTAAATAAGTCAGCAAAACATGAGTGGAAATGGTGCGATGTAGAAATTGTTCTTTCAGATAGTTTGATTAATAAAATAAGCTATGGTTGTATCAGCTGATACAGGCATCAATGTATATGTTTGCCATCATTATTATTATTATTATTATTATTATTTATTTTACAGGAAACAGTTTTTCCAGCAGAGTGGACATCTGTACCATCATGCAGGATTTTAGATTAGCGAGGTAACTTAACTGGGAATTTTCCGTTTTAGTGCAAAGTACAACTAATGTCACTGTTTGTTTTGATAGTAAGATTATTATAGTCCATAATGTTTGTCTCTACAATTAATACTTTTGGGTGTTTATTTTGCTTAAATATTCATCAGCATTTTTAAACCAAATCAATCTTAAACAGTTACAGTCATCTTAGTGTAAAATTCCCTCTCTCTTTGTTACTTTATCAGCTTTTCTGCTGATTCAATTAAACCCATGTCCTATAATATATTATTGTATATAGCATTTGTATTCTATTTTATACGATTGTATATAGTATTTTATTTTTAATTTATTTTATTCTACTCTATTGTGTACTGTATCTCATAGATATATTATTCCAGTGTTTTTTCTCTAATTTTTCTATGTAACTTTGCACTGTCCACTGCTGTAACAAAACAAATTTCCCCACACGTAGGACTAATAAAGGTTATCTAATCTTATAATAGCTTATTACTTATATCCTATTTTTGTCAGCCAGGTCTCAAAGTGAAACTCATGCAAGATCAACTTGCTAGGCAAAAAATAACCCATAGAGGCTCAAATCAATGTGCATGCATACAACAATACAGCTAACACTGCTAACACTACCACACAACATAAAGTTTAATCTAACAGATTTTTATAAACAATAACAGTGACTTTTGGAGGCTTTTGAAAGACATAGATGTATTTTTGAAGCTTCACAAACGCTACATTTAAACAGATCAAGGACTCTGGGTCTTAAAACATGACTTTTGACTCACCTCTGCAGGATGCTGCACTACGTACAGACATGTGGAGACCTCCAGAGGTTGTGGTGGAAGAAAAGGACATAGACACACCTTCTGAGGGCGACTACATGGGAGGAAAGTTGAAGACGTGAGGCTGTGTTTTCCCAGTTACTTCCCAGCCTATAGCCCCCATCTGTGTGTGTTTCAGCTGGTCTTGAGCTTTCTGTAACGACACGGATCTGTTCCCTCATTAAAGCATGCCAGCTACGCGAGGAGACGGGAACATTCATACGCCGCCTGGATCAACCAACTCGGCTAACTACTAGCATGAGCTGCTCTTTAATTCAACTCACCGGCAACGGAAACATGTCGGTCTTCTCTCGCCAGCCTCCACCGGAAGGGCAGCCAGATCCCCAAAAGCGTCAACCAACCCGTCCTCCATCGAGGAGCCGTCGCACATTTCTGGGGCGTTTTGTATCTCTTGAGTGACGGCGGGACACAGACTGGGAGCGCAGTCCATTGTGGAGTTAGCAACAAGCTAACCTGTGCGAGTACCCAAACACTGCGCCGTCTTCTGGTGTAGAAGTAGACCGACTAGAGAGAGAAGGCACACGGCGGCGTAATTAAAAGTGTTTCGTAGAGTTCACAGTGCGTGCGCTTTATATTTCGGGTATATACCTCGCCTCTACAATGGATGCAAAGAGATGCACATAACTGCTGGTGGTAGGAAATGTTTATTACAGGAGAGTCCGAGGCTGAATTCGTTTATACAAAGTGTTTCTCTTCTTTTTCTTTTCCTCCCATCTCCTTTGGTATGCGTCTATCGCGTAGTATGTTATATACATTTAGAGTTGGATGGCTAAAATAACTTGTTTCATAATCATAACAGACACCTTTTCTGGCTACGCTTACCTCGTTAGTAAGGTAAGAGTAATGATCTATGGGGCGACTTCACTTGTTGCTACTGCAAGGTTAACCTGTAAAAAGACTAAAGCTAGATCGATATTATTAACCAGTATTAGCCATTATCACAGGTATATATGATATTAGCCCAGATGATTTCCCGTATATGCTAACAGAAATTAACACAGAACTTTTTGACATCCGGGGTCTCGATACAGATACAGATACTAAAATTAAGACTAGTTCCTTATTTTGTCACATCTATTTATTTATTTTTTGTCATATCCAAGATCAGTGGTGCAAAGTGAGCTTCACAATAAGCTGTTAACTATTTAGTTTGGAAGCTGTGTGTGACTAAAGAATAACCCCATCATTTCCCCCTTTCTCATAAGATTCAAATATACTCTCAATATGTGTATGTATGCATATAATCCAGACTGCTTTCATGCATCATTGGTAAAAACGCCAATCATGTCAGAAACAGAATACTTTTATAATCTCTAAGGACAATATATATATATACTGGTATATAAATCGGTATATATTCAGTTTGCCATCATATGCAACAAAGAAAAATAATATATTATTGTTTGAAGAGCTATTTAAACTTTCATTGTCGAAATTGTGTTTCATTACAATTTTTGCTGTCCTTCTCAGGATGATTACAGATGTTCATAATCAGTTCATAGGCATAAATATAACAGCAATCATTTTGTTATACTCGTCGTTGTTTTGTTTTTCATTTTCAGTCAGTTAGCTGTTTGCTGTTCAAAAACTCAAGTTACCAACATGCACTGACACATCCGTTCTATTTATTGTATTTCTGCGACATAGCTGCTTGTAAGTTGTTAGTACTTCATTAACTCAGGGCTGCCACCTGTCGGTGTGGAGGAAAAGGGTTATTTTAAAAAATACGCTGGGTGTCGCCAAAGGCTATTTAATGTAAAAGTAAGGCCGCTTTAATATACTTGAAAACACAGCTTTTGCCCCACGGAAGCAAAATAGTTATGTACACTTAGTTGCGTATGCATTTTATTCACACATCGTTTGTCCATTTGAAAATGGATATCTGTGAGTTTGTTTATAGTTTGACTTTGAAGGTCAGTCGACACAGGGTCACAGCTGAGGCTTCAGATGGCACCTTGGATTCAGACGTAAAGCAACTACTGTACAGTGTATCTGCAAGCAATGCAAACATGCAGAATACTGTACACCACAGTGCAAAAAAAAAAAAAAAAAAACAACCCCAAAAAGTTTCTCTATGTGCATACATTGGGGAATATTTTGTTCATTTTGAGACAGCTGTGCTAAAGCAGACTAAAACGAGCTACGTTTGGTTAAGTTGGAGATATCTTTTCGATGATGCAGGAGAAATATACGTAACTTTTATAAATGCCTTTGAACATTTTTATGATAATTTTAAAAAAAAAGCATTTGCAAAATTTTATAACATTTGATGAAGATCTTTAATTACAGATTATTTTGACAGGGTGCAAAACATCACACCCCATTTGGCTTAGCGATGGATGCACATTGTCAAGAAGTTTCACGTTCCAAGCACATCCGTGATTAAACAAAGATTTGCAGGGTGGATAATTTGTCAGGAATAACCACAGGTAAATAGGCTCATCTGCACGGATCACAGACTCTGTCTTGGATGTTTACAAGCGGTTGTGCGGAACACAGGCTCCCAGTTTAGATAAGGTGTCGAGTTAATGGCCAGAAGGGCTTATTTATAGCTGAAGATGCACCCTGACACCGTACAGACACCGACACATGCACGCTTATCCTTTTTATTTGCACATGTGAACCACTCTCATCAATCATGCTATGACTCATGCGCTATTGGCAGACAGTTTGGCTTCACCTGCAGAGACAAAGGATATATGATCAATCTGAAGGCAAAGGTTTTAGATAAGACTTTGATTATATATGCAAATCTGAGCTTTAAGAATTTATCTTAATTTAATGCACTTTACATTTACTGACATTTTAAGCCCAAATATGGATATTGATCTGTTACAGCACTTAATACCAAGTTTATTGAAAAAGACTGTAGCGCACTAAAGTATTACACACTGTCCTTTGTTTTTGGCTTGCTCAGTTGGAAAAACTGTCGAACTATCTTCTTGTTTCTCAGCATTGTTCTCTGTTGGATCTGTTTCTGATGACTTAACATCTGTCTCTAGTTCAGTTTGTTTTGTAACTGTTTCGGTCTGGCTTCTCTCTCCTTCTTCTGGTTTGGGGTTTTCTCCTTCAGTTGGCTTTCCATCTCTCTCATCTCTGGTGGTCACTTCATTCCCGTCCTGTACGCTTTCAGCTTCTGTTTTGGCCACAGCCAACGCATTCTCTTCTCCATCTCCGTCGCCTTCATCAGCAGTCTCTGCCGGCGATGCCGTCTCTTTCTCCTCCTCTCTTTGCTCCTTCCCTCCAGCCTCTTCGTTTTCCTGCACAATTGGAGTCAGAGGCGTTAGATCTAGACACGTCTTAGGAGGGGATGCTACTTTTCTCCTAGGAGGAGCGACTGGCTTGTCTATTTCTGAATCTTTTTTCCACAAATCCCGAACACAGACATTGCTCTCTTCCAAGGCTGCGGGATGATCATCTATACTTGTCCAGTCTGCTTCCTCTGAGGGAAACTCAAAGCAAGAGATGCTAAGTTCATCGACTGGGATTTCTGTTGGTTTTTCAGCTGTTATAGACACACTCCTTACTGTCTTGGATTTACTCTTTTTTGCTGTTTGTGTGTCGTCTTCTTCCAGAAGTCGAGGGAAAGGCTCTATGTCGCACGGAGAAGAATTGGCGCTGGACCTGAAGAAGTCTGTAATATCCTCCTCTGAATTAGGCACCTCTCCTTTTTCAGGTTTGGTCACAAAAACATCAAGATCATACAAATCCTCGGACATTATCCGAGGTCCTTCCTCTGGGCATTTTTCTTTATCTGTTGGTTCCCCCTCCACAACAGGAGTCTCATCTATCAGGACATATTTCTCTAAATATCCCCTGGCCTCTCGGTCTGAATGCCTGCTGTGGAAGGACTTCTCCGAGGTCACACTTTCAGTGTCTTCTTCTTTTTTCCGGCTGCCGAGTGCTTCCTCGTAAAGGTCTGTATAAAGAAAGGCCATGGCTTTGGGTTCCTCCAGCAAAATGGGATCAATAATTTTCGGAGGCCCTTCGGGTAGAAAGATTGGTGTGAGGACATCTTCTTGGCTTCCAAACAAATTCGAACCACTCTGTTTTGAGGGAAGCCTAGATAGTGCACTTTCTGCTGCTCCACCTCCATCTGTTGCCCCTGGACCTTTCAGAAAGTATTCGTCTGTACCGCCATAAAAGACTTCATCTAAAAGCTCGTTAGCAAGTTCCACCAGACTGATTGTGTCTGACTTGTCAACATCTGCACCTTTGGTGCTGGTGCTTTCTTTAGTCTGTGCATGTTTCTCAGTGTACTGACTCTCAGTAGCAGTCTTTGCCTCTGGTTCCACCTGTCCTCCTGCAGCCACAGCAGGACCTCCTGGAGCTTGAGCATCAATCAGGGCGAATGCCTCAAAGTAGTCCACATTTCCTGCTGCTGCTCTGCTTTGCATTCTGGCCACCGGAGCTCCCGGTGGATCCATGGAATCTAGATCCACAGGAGGGCGGGGGCTGGCTTGGTAATCTATTGTTGGGCCCGTTTCTACTGAGATCAGCAGCTCATTTTCATGGATCTCCTCACTAGCTTTAGGAACAACACTTTCCTCCAGGTATGAAAGATTGTCCACCATTTCTTTGCTGACTTCTTCATCCACGGTGGCCAGTTTTTGGGGAACAACAATGTTGAGGATTTCAGAGCCTTCTGACACTAAGCTGAACAGCTGCTGCTCTTTGTCTTCCTGAGGATCAGTTGTTTCCTCTTGGTCTCCTTCTCCGTCACTTTTCAAATTTGGTTGAGAGACTTCCACTAACTCTGGCCGCCCTGAGATGTTCTCAGAGCTTTCTGCCAGGACTTCTCGCTTTCTATCTGCTTTGCTTTTCGGCCCACTTGCCCTCTCCTTGGTTGTCTTCCTTCTTGAGATAAGCTCCTCATCCATGACAAAAATGATTTTGCCTGCTGGATGAGACCCAGGTGTTGCAGGCTGTATTGCACTGAGATCCACAGAGGGGAGTCCAGCTTCAGACATCCATGGTGTGGTGCAGCGACTGGGGGTCGTCTCCCATGCGATTCCGCTGTCCTCCCCTTGCATAGTTACCATGGAGAAGGAGGAGTCCATCATTAGGCACTGCATCTTAGGCCGGACGTTATCATCGTGGACAGCCTCGCGTAAGCTGAAGGCACAGTAGCGCACAAATATTGGGAGGGTAAGGGAAAACTATACAAAATATGTCCTAATAACTTCTAAGTTGTGCAGGTGTTCTTTTGCTTTAATACTTTTTGCACTGCGCCTAAAGCGAGAGAAAGAGTCTCAGCTTATATTCACCAAAGTCTGAACTGCATAAAGCATCACATCTATCAACCTTTGAAGATGCTTGTTGTGCTCCATGAGCATTTTTACGTCACACAAGTGTCATTAAGTAGGAAGAAAGAAAGAAATTTCACCCTGCAGAACTTCCCATTCTGCTTGACCAGTGCAAACATACGAACATGTGGCATTTCCTCCATAAATTCAGCATATTTTATTACTGTAAAATAAATGTTTCACCACAGACTCTAATTCCTAAATGATCAAAAACTTTCTTCTGTGGTAAAAAACAAAAACAAAATTGCAAAACAAATCTCATTAAGATGAAACTTTAACCTGCAGCATAAAGAGCACCTGTTTTGAAGGGTCTCCACTTCATCAGTAACATCAAGGTTTTGTTCTGTAATATCTTCAGATGTCAACACAGTCATCTCGGGGTCAACATCTGACTGTGCAAAATCCTCCATTGCTGTAGCCATTGTTAGCAGTATGGATCTGCTTCAGCCTCTCAACACGACTCGATGCTGCTCTGCTGATCACATACGAAGCGAGCGAGCGTGCTCGAGTCGGGTTTTCATGCTCAGCATAATCTTGAAATAGAAAACTTGCCTTCCACTGTTTCATCTGAAACATTTGCAGCATGCAGGGAGAGTAATTCGTCTCCTGTTCACAATGGTTGAACTCTTGAAATCACTACATACAGATAACAAGTTAATCTGGGTTAAGCAGTTGCAAATAATCTGAACTGTGAAAATGCAGGAACATTAAGGCAGTGTCTCTGTCTTATTTATTTTTGCCAGGTCTATTAATAATTTTTTCTTGGCATCATGTATCTGATATCATTAGTCTCTCTGTAAGTGAGTTAGAGGTAAGATTGTTTAAAATCTTTAAGCTGTTTTTTTTTCATGTGCAACAAATCACATGTCAATGAAAAATAGTAAAAACCAAAATTGTGATTAAAAAGTTAGACTTGTCATGCTTTTCTGTCCCACTAGTGAGCATTTTTTGTGGTAACTGGCCAAATACGTTTTTAAAATCTGCCTTTCTTTCATTTTGATTGAGCCACCTGCTCGTGTCTGTCACACAGAGTGTCAGAGATGCTATGTGGGAAATGAAAGCGTGAAGGAGTTGGGGAGGGTTTAGTCAACATGTTCTATCTGGGTAAAAGTTCCCCAGTGTAAACTAGTCTGACATACCCTGTGCATCATAAAACTTTCCAGTGGGCATGCCAAACTGTGAATTTAATATTATATAAATTTTGAGGCAGTAATCACACACAACAAGACCGGGAAGAAGCAAAACTGAAAACTGAAAAGTCCAAGAATATAAATTAATCAATAAACACAAAACACTGGGCCAGTAATTTGACATTTATGTTAGGCTGCTGAAAGGTGTCTCTATAAGCGATTGCACCATAGGTTATACTTAGTTTGTTACAGGTCCTGTAGGAAAAAATGATAAAAGAAACTTTATCTCTAAGATCCAGAGAAGAAAACTCCCGTTATTTTAAAACATATATCATTAATGTCATGAATGCATATCATACTGAAATGCTGATTGTGCCTTCAACCCCATCACCATTTTCAACCCCCATAATGCAAAGTTAAGCCCTATTACCGATGTTAATGAAAGTTCTCTTGGCATGCTCTGACAATGAAACAGAGTATTTTTGAGTGGAAATTACGTGTTTCATAAGTGATCTTTAGCCATGGGACATTTCATCGTTACATACTCACCAGAATTTACTACTACTTATCATGATTCTTGGGGTTTTCGCTATTTCCTCTGTATTATTTTAAGGTCTTTACCTTACAAGATAAAGGACTTGAGACAACTGTAATTGGGATTTGGTGCTATATAAATAAAACTGAACTGAACTTCAGCATGATTTCAAATCATGATCACAATGATCATATGATAATTTTGTCTGTGACAGGGTTGAAATCCAAATGGATTTAGTGAGATTTAAATGCCTAATAATGACTTTGTGCCTAAAATCTGATCAAAGTACAAAAAATTTGTTTTTTATACAAAAATATATTTTCTTTATTGTTACTGATATAATATAATAATACTCAGATGTTCTGAGTACCATTGCGTTATTGTTATTGTCCTCTTTTATTTACGTCAGTTTATTTTACCCTCTACCGGATGTGAGGACATACATACTGCCAATAACGTCAAAACTGCAGGCGTTAACGTAGCGTGATGACGTCGTTGGTTAATGCTTCCCTCTGAGCAGAGGCGGCGGATGGAGCGGAGCTGATGAATGAGATGAGGGGCTAACAGAGGGCAGACGGGCTGATGATGAGAGAGGATGAACCAGCAGCTGAAGGAGCATCAGTCCTATTCTCCCACCATCTCAGATCCAGTTTACGCGAAACAACGCAAACAAAATAAGACGGAGAAATCTGCTCGTTTGTGAATGAAGGAAAATTTTGTGGCGAACATCGACGTCGGTGAAGGTGTTTTGATTTTTTTTTCCTCTTGGAGGAGGGCAGGACGTGATGATAAAACCCGGAGTGTACTCCAAGGGCTTTTTTGTGTTCTCTCCAAAAGCAGCGGAGATGAAGCCCCGTCTGGAAAGAAGATGTCTGTCACCACAGAGCGGCGTTAAATGTCTCACTTGCGGCGGTAAAACTCTTTAATATTTCTCCGATTTGAGGATTTTAATGGCACAGAGGACTTCAATCAAGAGCCAGCGACTTAAAGAGGGATTTATGAGTGTCGGAATTGAGGGGTGAATGTTAATTTTTTTATCCCAACGCCTGCCATCCCTATTCAGATTATACACCAGCCAACGGAGCATTTATAGTCAGCTAACGTCACATTTAGAGACTATAGGCAGTTTTATTTGCTAAAACACGTTAACATTTTTTCCCCTTCGATAATTTCACTCTGAATTTAAAAGCGCAACACGATCCCTTCGAGTCTAATGTGGTTATAAATCACACCATCCGTCTGCTGTCAGTTTTTTCTCCTTCTTTTTTTTTTAATAGCCCGAGTTGAGCTCCATAATCCTGCATTACTGTGGAGTTTGGTTGTGGGGTTTTTTAGCTAACGGCGGCGGCTACTAGAGCCAGAGCGGCGCGCGCGCGTGTTGTCAATCATCATGCGTGCACCGACACGTTCGCACGGATGAAACCACCACCTTAGCCAAAAATATGATGCACCCAGAGGGCACAACAACACGCCGAGCCATGTCGGACTGAGAACAGTGAGAGTGGGGCTTCGCCGGGCTGTGAGCTCACACAAACAAGCAGAGAGCGGCTTTCAATTGAGAGGGAGAGCGGATAAAAAACAAAACAAAAACAAAGCTGCAGCTAGCCTGTCCGCACAGCTCTCAGGAGACCGCTGAGAGGATCATTTTCGACTCAACTTAGAGACCAGAATCCAGCTATAATGGGGTATGTAAAGTGGTGGTTCAGTGGAAGTTGTATTTCTCACTCCCCATGTCATGAGTGTGGCACACTTTGTTGTTGCAGATTTCAACACCCACAGCTGCCAGTCTGCTAGCTAACCCCCCTTGTCCTCTTACATAGAAAAAAATTACTGTAAACCACTATCCCATCATTATGTTCACCTAAAGCCTCCATACGCTGACATTTCAGCTTACAGAAGCCAATAAGGATGAGGCTGCGATGAAGTAAGCTACTGATGATAGGGAGAGCATATTTAATGTTTTGCCATGAGTAAATGTGGAAGGGGGGGGGGCTCCATCACCACAGCTCCATTGTGGTGCTTACATGTGGCCGAGCCTGCAGATGTGTGGTGATTCTCCTGATCAAAAGCGACCTAGTTCCCACTCCAGATGATGTAGAATGTGATTGGTTTGTTGTCATATTGTAGTTGGGAAGGAGGAGAAGGGGATTGGTGAATGGCTTGCCTCCTCATCCTCTGTAATTCTCAAGGCCAGTGGTTGTAATCCAGTCAACAATCAATTTCTGAGTCGGTCAAAAGAGAGTATGTCCTACAGTATGTGTTTACACTGTCTCAATTAGCAATTCTCCCTGTTCCTGTCCTCTTTGTGCAGTTGTTGATCTTAAAAAGGCTCAGACGTCATCAGTTCAAATGTCACTGGCATGTTTTTGTTTTTTCAGTGGAAACTGAAACATATCTGAAGTTGCAGCAGTGACACACCCCTACCACTGGAATTCAGTTAGGACTTTGTAGTAAACAACAGCAAGCATAGTACATCCAGCAACAACACAATAAAATCTCTAAAATGACAATTACAAAGTTTTTATTTTTACTGGCTTAAAAATGGGTGCGCAGCTTCAGACAGTTATTCCCATACTGTTAT